TTATTTCAGGCCGAGATTCACACTGCTCTTCCGTCAACCGTTACCGTCTCATCATGTCTCCTCGGTGAATTAAAACTTTTAAAAGGAAGGGACTGCTTTGATTCAAAGAGTTATCTCGTAGAATTTGAGAAATATAATCGGTGATTTATAAGTTTTTATTCAGAGTTATGGCATCAGATGTGAAAAATGTAATAAATGCCAGTTTCCTACCTGGTTTGTTTAGTTGTCCTATTCTATTCCATAGTTTGTGTTTGAATAAGTCTTGTCACCATATATGGTGTTTGACATGTACTGCTTAACAAGGTCAATCAATTTTCCATCCATGAGGAAATGGCACTTCTGGTTCCTGCGGCAACTAGTCTGTGATTGACCGCTGACACCGCTGACAGGGTGTAGTCAACATTATCGGCGTTCCGGTAACAGCCCTGGCGCGACACCGTCACGTCACGGCAAAATATCCTTCAAAGGAATCCCTGCCGTAACGATACCGTGATGTGATGGCGACGTGACGGTAACGAACCGTTTGGCGTGAACAGGGCCATATGGTGACATGGAAGAAATCCTGACAGAACGGTGACGTGATGAATGGTGTGACTCGGCCTTTAATGCTCACCATGAATTATTTCTAAAAGCCTGTTTATTCAGAAGGAATTTACTGTCCAAACTCAAGAAATACGTAATGGTACAGTAGACAACACAGGCTGAACTCGTCCTGATTATGTATATCCGTCAATTTTTCAGTTTCAGGTGGCATAAGGGTGTGCAAATTTCTGCAAAATCGTGCTGTATTTGTAAAAAAAAAAAAAAAAAAAAAAAAAAAAAAGCCCACGTAATACTAAACTGAAATTACATACCAGTCCAGCAACTACTTCTATAACAACCCATCAGGATATCCCATCAACAGTTTCGAACTCTAAACATTCCCCCACTTAGTCGCATGTTATTGAGACGCCGCTGTCCAGAGTGTCTGAAGGGAAAGGAGTCTCTCGTATTTCCCTTTCAGATCGCAGTAACAGGTGCCTTGTGAGGAAGGACACCCAGGTCAAAAAAAAAAAAAAAGTTTTTTGAATGATTCTCCTTGTAATGTTAAGGCAGTGGGAAGACTGGTTAAAATGCACCGTGTTAAGATCGAGTATAATATTGGACAACAAAGTCTAGGTATATCAAGATATGCATAGTAAAATTAAAGCCCGCTGACAGTCTGCGTGATATAATATGGAATGCGTGACTTAGGGAGTGGCAATTAACTAGTAAAATTTATTACATGCATCCTTGCCTTAATATTTTCACAATTATAATTCTCCCTCATACGGGCAAGTTGACGCAACCTTTAGGGCATGCAAAAATGATAGATATCTGTAAATCATGAGGCCTCTGTATTGGCTTTACGAGCTTCGAATAGATGGTTCGAAAGGGCAAGACTCGTAGGATGCGCGGAGTTTATTTTCTGCTGATTTTATTATCAGGCATGGCATAGGAAAAGCACGAAATGCTGCACAAAATAGATATCCAGTTCAGAATGAGTTATGGAATTTACTTTAGTATTAACATGCTGTCGTAGAGCGTAAATCAGGGGCTATCCAGCTGTGTGGAGGCCATCCCCATTACACACACACACACACTCACACACACACGTCTATCTACCCATCTAACACACACACACACACACACACACATATATATATATATATATATATATATATATATATATATATATATATATATAGATGTGTGTTGTGCGTACATATATATATATATATACATATAAGATTATGGTAGAAAAACCCACAATGCAAAACCTAGATTTATTAGATTATATATAATGTGGGAATAGAACATTTTCTTTAATTTTTATGTAGACGGTCATTGTTTTGCCTTTCCTTCACTCTCTCTCTTACTCCCCCCCCCCCTTTTGCCTCTGATTCTCACTCTCTCTCTCTCTCTCATAATCATATACATATGTGTGGCTGGGAGGGCGGGGGGAGTGATGTGTGTCTGTGTAAGTGTCTGTCGTGCTTCCCCCCCCCCCTCTTTTTTAATACAAATTACCTTCCTTATAAGTTTCTATTGTAACTGCAAACTCCTTTGGGTTAAACTAGATAAGAAATTTGTACGTAGTCAACGTGTCAACAGAGGGCAAGTTGGCCGAAGTATCCCCGAAGATTCTCGAAGTCGTATTGTGTTCAGACGAGAAACACATGTTGTAAGATTGATATGCTTTTGAACATCGTGAATGTTGTAATTTTTCGTATTAAATATTTTGTACCTTGTATCAGTGTCCCTTGTTTAATAAAACAACAACAACTATTAAACCGGAAATAAATACTGTATATAAGCAGCAGTAACCTGGTTGAAAGAAAAAAAAAATACAGAAAGTTGTTGAATGGTATTTAAACATTTTTACACGTCTTCGCTTGGACCAAAGACTAGATCATTACTAGGCATTGGTTTGGATGTTACCGCAACGACGCACCGCAGAGAAATACTAGTGTCGCGGGAAGAGGAAGGTGAGTCTGACACTGTGGCACTCGGCCATATTCAAGTGCCACTTCTCTCTCTCTGAATATGCACTGGTCTAGTCAGTTGAGCTGTAGTGTTTCTCTGTTGGTCGTTTATTAACTGCTAGTCTTATTCGTGTAACTGCTATGTAGATAGATTTAGCTGTAGGGTCAGGGATAGGATAATCCTCAAACATAACTTGGATCCTGAAATATATGTGTGTAATATATATATATATATATATATATATATATATATATATATATGTATATATATGTATATATATATATATATGTATATATATGTATATATATATGTATATTTGTATATATATGTATATATATGTATATATATGTATATATATATATACATAGCATATGTATGTATATATATACTTATACATAAACATACTCATACACACCAATAGTTGCTTTTGCAATAATAGCCTTCAGAAAACCCTAGTTTAAAAACTGACAGTTTAACATCAAATCAACTACCTGACACTTCTACTTGGGAATGCTGTAAGGTACCGGTGGAATGCATGCAATGCCGCCGGGTATGACGTGTACGTATGTGCTATGCCCACCACGAGTACTTGTTTGATTGTTTTTACGGATAGATGGCAACACTTGTACTAATTCTCCAATGAGCCAGTTACGAGCACCGCCCGTCTCGCCCGTTTACCCGTTTCTTTGATTTACAAAATATTTTACGTTATCTTTTGCTGTTACTAGTGTTAAAAAAACATTATAATAATTATAATGTTTATGATAAAAATAATACCATCGATTTTCAAAGCACTAGTGGAAAATACGTTTTTCCCGCCATTTCAAATCAGGCGCTAGCAGAGCCATCTATCGGCAGACATTTCACGAAAAACATATAAAGTGGGCACAGCATTTTCCCCGGCGGCATTGGGTTAAGAGAGTCATTAATTGAAATCCCAATTGGCATAAATGAAAGGTCTTAACACGCACACAAAAAACATTTACTTTAGTAAATAACTCATCGGAACCAGGAGGACATTATCGGACCAATTCTTCCTTTTTTTTTTTAGTATCCCCAAGCAATCCCCAAGCAACCTTTTGCCAGTGTTGGGTCGTTTCGTCCGTACTACATCATCTTTAGCAAGACTCCCACTGAAAAAAATGACAATCGGTCATATTACTGCGTGTTGACGGAGGACATTCATGGTTTTAACTTGCGATAATTAAACTGAATCAGGGTGTTATTATGTGCTTTTTCGTTTTAACTATATTGTATTTTCTAGAGGCGTAAATGCATGTGGCAGATTTATGATTAGTTAAATGCAACATGTCTAAGTAGCATTGTTCTACTTCCAATAATTATCGACAGCCTACACCCAGAGAGAGAGAGAGAGAGAGAGAGAGAGAGAGAGAGAGAGAGAGAGAGAGAGAGAGAGAGAGAGAGAGAGAGAGAGAGAAAGAAAGAAATACCAGAATGCAAGGAGCTATTTGTAACTGTTAAACCGTTATAAGTACGAAATGTTTCTCCTTTACATATTGCCCTTGTAATATAAAGGTGTACTTTATTATGAGGGTAACTGATTAAAGTAGTACGAGTTATCAGTGAGTAGTGCTGTGGCATTCAGCTATGGCGGCATGACCATTAGGAAAGGAAATGATGATGATAACAATAAACAGATAAATAAAATTAAACGAAAAATGACCATTGAAAACTTTCCTTGCAATGTGTAACGAATTTGATTTTTTTGAGGTTTGTGAATACAATTGATGCGTGATGACAGTTTCTCTCTCTGTCTCTCTCTCCAGCTCGTTATTCTCGACTATAAATTCTGCGAATAAGTTGAGTGGGAAGCTACTCGTGGTCTTTATATGTATTGTATAACTTATGTTATGCTCATTATCTTCCCTTTAAAAAAATACTACCCGATGTGAATCATAAACATCCAGCGTTACTATAAGGTATTTATAGCAAGTGGCTAACCGCTTCAGCGTAAATTACATGAGGGAGATTTCCTCGATGGAAATGGTCGATGGACGGTTTCCTCGGTTGGTCGGAAGTTGAAACATCCTCTTTAAATTGGATATTCTCTTGTGTACCCGCCACGTAATCCACTTTCCCGTTTCAGCAGCAGTGTCAAGGGCAGACAGTTATAAGAGTAACAGACCCCCCCCCCCCTGTGCATTTCAGTTGAAAACATACATGAATGTCTGTAGTGTAAATCCTAAGTAAAACAAACACTGGCATCTCGCATCAGTTGTCCGATGGAGTAAAATAAAAGTCTAGATTAGCCTTTGAATTAAATGAATGTCCTTTTAATACTTTAATATGTATTTCATTCTGTTGTAGCTCTTAGGTAAGCTGATTATGTGCATTTTCTATTAGGCAAATTGATTTTGTTAACATGTGTTGCTTTAAAATGTTTTAGTGGTCTTTCATATAGTATGTTCACACGTCTACCATTATTAAGATTTACCAAGTAACGATTACTATATTTAGGTTTTTGCAATGAATTT